GGTTTTCCCACCTAGTGCCCCCAACTCTGCCAAAAGGGCTCCGTTTCCTCACACCACCAGCTCAGCTAACAAATGAAAACTTCGCAAGAGCACTGGCTCACACCTGGTAAAGACATCATGTGTTTGGTTTGTGGCTGCTCTCCTCTCAGGTTTCCACACTGCCAGAAACAGATGCCCATATTTCCATGGGTTGACACCTCTCACTTTTCTCCTTTAATTCACAGGCAGCAAAGTGCCAGGAGGAGCAAGAATGAACCTGCCCTCAGCTGAGCAAAGGAAATCCGAAAGTCTGCAGCTTCTGCCATACAAACTTGTACTGACGAGTTGCTGGGTTTGCAGCTAGAGGAAGCTGCTTATAGGAGCAGACATGTTGCTGCCAACTCTCAGTTCCTAAACTTGATTCCTCCACTCCTGGGCTGGTCACACATTCTGGGTAAAGTTGAATTAAACCATTTTTAAACCATGTCACCATTTAGAAATGCTGACGAATGGCGTCTGCAAGGCTGTCAATACATACATGTGTAAGAAGGGAAGCAGACAGCAGCGAGATAGGTGCTTACAACAGTCATTTGCTCTGACAGCTGTCAACGTTAAACTGATAAAATTGCTGCTGTTGCACCATATTTACACACTAAACTTTTCCCCACAGAGTGCATCCCTTGACTCAGCCAGCACAAGAACCTAGGAAACAGCAAAGTGTCTCTTAGCATAAGCAAAAGAAAAATAAAATGTAATAAAAAAGGACTTCTCATTGACTCCATCTAAATCCTACTTCCCACAAAGGCTGGAAGCAACTCCAGAATCATCCAGAAACTGGAACCTCCAAGTTCTCAGCCCCAACTTTGATGCAAGCTTACGCAGGACTAGGTGCTTCACCTCTTCTGCCGAGATTTTTCCATCCAAGGAAGGGAGATAATTAGCTGTGACTTGCTACACAGCAGTGGCGTGAGACTTAATTGTCAGAACACTTTGAAGGTATGGCATCTAATTAATATCTGAAGTGGCTGCAGTGATTATTATGAACAATGGCATAGCTCACAGCTGATGATACAGCTCAGCTCATCGGTATTTTTCATTCTCAGAAGTGCTGTGCAAACACACAGCCAATATTCCACATCAGAAATCGCCACAGTAGTGGGTGGTTATCAAGCTCATTTCGTGGATGGAAAAACTGAGGCAAGGTGTGATGGAGCCCAGCAACAATCACAAACCACAGAGCACGGGAACTTTACAAGGCAACTCCTCACTGGCTGCCAGGATGGAAGAGGGCAGCAGTCTGACAGTCCCATCACAGAGCTGTGCAGTATTTCGGGTCTGTTTGGAAATGCTCAGCTATGCGTGCTCTGTGCAGGTGTTGAATTTAGCAGGCTCCTGTAAGCAGCCATGGGGTTGGAGCTTTAAGCGTAGGAAAGAGCAAGCAGGACCTGCTTGGGGGTTGGACTAGATGATCTCCAGAGGTCCCTTCCAACCCTAACCATTCTGTGATTCTGTGACCTCTTAATTAACCCTCCAATGCACAGGCGCACACACACACACAAATAATGAACACGTAATTAGCAAGCCTGTGGTCCTACACATCAGCTGATGCCACATGTTCCCAGCTGAGTAGTGGGAGCGCAGCCCTCCCTCTACATACACAGGGAAGTCGCATCTCCCTCATTTTAGCAGCAGCAACCACCACCAGGTTGGCGCCATCCTTGGACAGGGAGGAGACGAGCAAGCAGTACTTTCAGCACAGAGGCCTCCGCACCTCCCCTGAGCCCAGGTACCCCCAGCTCTACAAGGGTAACCACCCCCAGGACTCACACAAGCAAGGGGCACCTCCATTTCACCAGCTGTCCCATGAACAATTATCAACCAACTCTGCAAAGTGCTCTCAGCAATAGGGAGCGGAAGTGTTCATTTTAACCCTCATCTTCACTTTCCTTCCGTCCTGCCTTCGGGAGACCCGGGAACACATTTTAGCCACATTGCAAAATGCAGAAAGAATACAAAAACCATAATTTTCCAGAGCCTTACATAAGTGCTGCAGCTGAGATCCAAAGGCTGTCTTCTATTCCTGTGTCATGGAACTGGGTTCCCACCTGTCTCGGCTCCTGACAGCTTCCTGGAGAGCAGCAGCAGCAAGCTAAAAAGAAAAGAGATATTTTTTTCCCCTCCTGTCTGCTAAAGGACTGACTCCATTTTGAGCTCCTTCGTACGTCAAGAACTGCAGAGACGTTTGCGTTGTATTTGTGGCAATATCCAAAGGACCAGAAACAAAACACTGCTGTGCCAAAGCCAAACAGAGCTAGTTTTGGAGCTCAGCCATTTCTGAGACAGTGGGACATATTGATATTAGCAATTTAATAGTCCAGACTTGAGAGACAGATAAGAAGTCATCATACTGTTACATACACACCAGGCCGGTTTGCAGGTCTGCACACGGCCACCATATAAAGGCTGGGAAAAAAGAAAAAAAAAAAAAAAACAAACAAACCCCACAGTCTTTCAACAAGCAGTGGTCCAAAAGAATCCCCAGGCAGATACTGATCTATCACTCAGTGCCTAAGGAACATAAAACAGGGTCCCTGCGAAAGGGAAGGTCATTCTAGATGGGTGCAGGATGTCTCCTGTGTGTAACTCTTTGGGTTGTCTACCTTCCTAGCAACTCTTCATAAAATTTTTCATAGGCAAGTGTGTAAATCCCCAGAGGAAAACAAAAGGCAAGAAACCCTATTCACCCCTTTAAACCTGAGCACTGAACAGATAAATCCAGGTCTATTTTATAAATATTTCAAAGTTCAAAGAAAACAGCAACTAGTAGTGACACAACCCAACAGAAACATCCTGGGGGGGAAGGCTGTAGCTTGTACGATACTCCAGTGCCACCAGCCGCACGACACAGGGCAGAGCAGCTCAGCAGAAGGAAAGGGGCGGCTGCGCTGCCTCGCAGCGTTGGGTGAGCCAACACCCCTCCAGTCAGTGGAGCTTCCCCATAGATTACAACGAATGTCAGATGAGGTGCTTAGTTACCAAAGTGATAAATGTTACATATAAATTAGCTGCGAGAGAGATCAGGCACTTGGGTGAACCCTCAGGAAAATACATGACAAATTGGTTCTCCCTTCACTCCCACAGGGATAGTAAAATCAGCCCAGAGTTAAAAGTCGTCTTTAAGAAAATTAACAACCACCACGACCACGAGGGAGGGCACACTTGTTTGCAGCTGAAAAAATCAGAGGAGCTCTCAGGACTCCTGGTGGGAGTCCTAAATATTTTCTTCATAGCAGAACAATGTGGAAGCTGCATTTATGTGGAGAGCCTCAAAGCCTTTCTGTGACCCTACTCGATCTCTTTAAACACATGTACGTTCACACATGGTTTTTTCACACGTCTATCCATGGAGCCCAGCAGCTTTTCATCCAGAAGGCTGTGGCAAGCCAGGCAGAACACTCACATGCTTCACTCTTTCATCTGAACTCATTGAAGAGGAAATCAAAGCTTTCCTTTTTTTTTTTTTTGGCCCCCTGTCCATCATCACTGCATGAGTAAATAATAAGGAAGTCCCAGTAAGGACACGATGTAAAGTGCAATCAAAGCTTCTCTCTGCCCCTGCGCAGAGGCTGACCTGGGCAGAACTGCGAGACACGAGCACCTCCTGGAGGAGATGTCCTCCGCTCCCCTCGGTCTCTAGTACCAAGCTCTCCTGACAGGACGCTTACGGCACATACCTGGGCTTCCCTCTCACCTCTCACTGAGGAAGCAGCAGAACCTAGAAATCCGTAAGAGTCATCAGTTATCTATTTCTGTGTGTCATAGCCTACTCGAGTGAGGTTTTTAATCCGTTTAGACAGCACTGTGGAAGCGTGACTCCTACTTACTACCGAAGCTAATGAAACCACTATGTATGAACTAAAGCTAATAGTGATATTAAAACAAGAAAAATGAAGTTAAAATAAGACACTCTGCTCAGTTTTCTTTCTTCCTAGATTTTACCGGGAAAAAAACACGAACTAAACAAATCCTCAACCCAGTGAAGGCTGTAATATTTTAACCTTAGCCAAACATAGCTTCGAGTGTACCAAAGTCTCATCTGAGCCTGTAAATACAACAAAATTACAAACTGTTACCTGGAACTGCTGAAGTGTTGAAAACAACGTGAACAAAAAGAAAGATTAAAAAACCCACAGTATTTTAAACAAAATTAAGTTATTTTTATTTCAAGGATATTATTACAAAAAGCACTCACTCTGTTACACACAAATAAATACACACCCTACCACAGAAATCCTTCGCTCCACAGAAAGATCACACCACTGTCAACCTCCATCTGCAAAGATGCATAGATCACAGCCTGACCAATGTCACAGAACGGTTTGGGTTGGACAGGACTGTTAAAGGCCATCTAATCCAAACCTCTGGCATGAGCTGGGACATCTTCAACTAGAACAGGTTGCTCAGAGCCCCGTCCAGCCTGACCTGGAATGTTTCCAGACACGGGGCATCTCCCCCTACTCTGGGAAACCTGTTTGCCAGACACCCTCTGCAACAATCCAACTCGCTTATAGCTGAGAGACCAAGTTATACGTTTTCCAAGAGCATTTTAGACAGAAAACATGATGAGAAGCAGAACAGGGCATTGCACAGGTCAACAGAAATGTTCCCTTTCCCCGAAAAGCTCCAGGGACCAAAAAAAAAAAAAAGGCACGTTCTGCTTTCTTCCAGGGAATATTCTTCATGCACATTGGAAGTACGTATGTAGCAACTTTGATTTCAGGATCACTTTCTAGGAACAGCAACCTCAGAACCCACAAGGTAGGTTAAAACTGCCACTGCATTTTGCAGATGGAGAGGAGGGAAAAAAAAAAAAATAATCACACAGGCATTACTTGCCTCGGACTGCCTAGGGAAGTCAAGGTCTGATCCCAATAGGGATTTCGGAATTCCTACATCTGCCTCAGTAAACAGCAAGCACCTCCTTGCCTATGAATTCATGAATGTGAGAGGCTATTTATCAGTTACTGTTCCTGTTCTGAAGACTCCCTGCCCTCGTGATTTGAGCCATTTGATTTAAAAAGCAGGAGACTTCTGTCCCAGCTGGTGCTCCCAAAGCAGCACACCAGCTCCATGGCGCAGTCCTTCGTTAAGATCTGGGTTATCCTCTCCGCCATATCCCCATTGATAGCGAGAGATCGGAAGTGATCAAAGTCATTTCTGCCCAGCTTCCGCAGGCGGCGTGCGGCTGCCCTGTAGCACTTCCACGGCTGAGGTTCAATCAGCAGGTACTTGCACAGAGAGGAGAGGAAGGACAGGAACTCCATCAGGCCACTATCCCCATGATTCAGGTGGATCCACATGGTCACAGACATGCAAAAAACAATGTCAAAGGTGGAACGGCCAAAACGGCCCAGGTAGGCGCTCAGGAATGGCTCCCTGGCACTGCAGTCCATGATGTCCAGGTTGGCAAAGGATATGGAGGCAGGAAAGGGGCTGCACTGCTGAGCCCTCTCAATCAACACCGGATCAATGTCACAGCACAGAAGATTCAGGTCCTTTCCAGCTGCGGGCTGGTTCAGGCTGCCTTCACTCTCCTGAAGGCCAAGGAGATGCCTGTACAGAGCCACACTTAGCTCCTGCAGAAAGGAAAACAAGAGCGGGTCACAGGGCCTGTGCTGCTTCATTAACACACCACCAAGCACATCGGATCCCACTTTCAGCAGCAAAGTACAAGCGCCAACTCAGAGCTATCTCTCGATGAAGTTCAGAACAATAAGCTCACTGACAATCTTCCTTTCTGTAGCAAAAAGCATCACGGTAGCCCTGACTACCGGAAAGACAATCCAAAGAGATGGGAACTAGACCTGTATCACCCCACACTTGGGGTTTTGCTCCAAACCTATGGGAAAGATGAGTTTTAGTAACAGGAATCTTGCTGGATATCCCCATCCAAAGTGGGAGTAAAGGCTTCACTGGCTTCCCTAGGTGATCCTCAGAGCTCCCTAGTGACACTTAGAGCTATTTATAATGCCCAATTTAGAGTAATATGTTTCTTCTGCTGCTGCTATAGTAAAAGACATTCTCTGACCATTACATTGTAGCATAAGATATCTATTATAAGAGCTTTCCTTCGAATTTCCTTTCACAGAGTGCGCCACTAAGTGGGAAGCGTATTAATCTTTCATTAAAGGAGATCCTATGAAGTTCCTGAATGACATCGGCTGTGAGCGCACAGCCCAGACAAGCAGGCAGACAGTGTCCTCTAGTGGTGAACGTCCCTGCATCTCAAAAGCACTGGACTGAGAACATTTTTACCTGACCTGTTTTACAAGTTCACCTGAAATAGGATCTAGAATTGTCCTTTAGATAATGCCTTAGGCAGCTTTTCAAACCTTCTGGCAGTGGGCTGGGGGAAGAGAAGCCAAGGAAACAGCAGTACTTTTGTCCCCAGCCAGAATGCAATTTCATTCTGAATGAATAATTATTTCTAAGTTAATACATTGATAAAGTTTCCACCTGAAAAAAGAAAAATCTAAGAGGCATCAGAGATGCACAGTTACTTCTGAATTACAACCCAGCAAAGCTGCACACTGAGGAAAACCCATGAGAAAAAAAGCAGAACTAAGTAAAGAAAGAGATTGAACTTTCAAAATGGGGAAATTCTACAAGATTCACCCGTTCTGTCACAAGATCTTCAAGAGCCTGTGACCAGGGTTTTAGTTTCAAGTTCTGTCTCATGGATAAATGATGTGATACTACACAATAGATTATGGTTTCTAGCTTCAGGTTTCTGCAGGTCCCCCACTCTTAGGGCATGACAAGAGCGGCTCTCCAGTGCTCGGGACAGACAGCAGCCCAGGACATTGCAGGCTCAGACCTCAG